AAAAATATGAATGGCCAACCATAACCACAACGAACTCCTGTTGACTGCGACGGATCTTGTTGTGGATGGAATAAACCACAATGATTCCGGCTGGGTCCAGTCTTGAGAGTAGTGATGCCAGAGAAGACTCGCGGAGGGCTTTCCCAGTTCGGTCGACCTATGCAAATGGATTCTGTGGTGTAGTAAATGAGAATCATTCGGCTGGCCTCGCAAAGTTGATAATGGATCACGGGAAAGAGCACTGCCCCAGGATAAAGGAATAAACGGTTTGATTCCTGGGCCAAAGTCTTCTTTCCTAAAATCATTTGTATCACACGTCGCATTCGTCCAGATTGTCCGGATAACACCGCATCAACGACAGGTACTGACTACCACCGTCAGCAACCCACGCAAGGAGATACAGTCAACAGGGAATGCCGATCCTGATCATTCGCCACCTTTGCACCGTCAATCGCTTTTATTTAGACATTGTACTTGCCCTGCAGCGCTTCCCCGATCACTGATCGTCTCATTGAGCATCCGTCATCGGCCCACCCTCGTCAAACGGCATTATAAAGGTACAGCCGAGGTCCGATCAGCTAATATTGGCATACAACGACTCCAGAGGGGCGGACTTCATCGTCACGACTCCTCACCTCATAGGATATCACATATGCGAACTCTTTGCAACTACTCTAGTCATTCTCAAAGGAATATAGTCCTAGCTTGTACCATTTAGCTAAACAGATCCCATATTTATTTCCTTCCATTTTCGTCTAGTTTATTTTACCTTTGTGTTCATACATTCCGATCTAAAATAAGACCCTGCATCGCGAACCAGTATGTGACCGAAGCACGCCCTTGCCGAAGTCCTATTCGCGTGGTGTCTCCTATTGTAAATAGAACTAATGATAGAAGTTACAGAACTCGTTATTAGACCCCCTACGCCGCATTACCCCGTTGCCTCTTGCCACGGTAGGTAGTGAGGCTTCTAGTCAATCAGAGGTATTATTCAGAAGCCGGTTGTTACAAACGATCTTTCGTGCAGCGCCATACGCGTCGCTCTTGTCCTGTGCATCGAAACATAATCCAACGGTTACAGCCCAATTGAATGAATCTCCCTAGTTCCTAGTTTTGGAGCGTTAAATATGTGAGTTAAGTCCAGGTGAACTTCTCAGAACATCATGGAAGAGGGTTGAAAAAGCAAACGCGTGGCGATACCTCCAAATGTACCTCAATTGCAAAGGCGCTTTGGACAATGCACAAAGCGAGCATCAAGAGCTTACTGAGAGCAATTGTTTATGAGTATCTAGTCTATGAGTAAGACGTATCTCAGGACATTCTCTGGATACATGGTCTGGATAGACCGTAGACTATACCTTGTATAACGGACTCTAGTGAATATGTGGTATTGCTGATGCTTATGGCCATTGATAACTCATCGTGATTTAGCAATCTCTCTTCTTTTCTTTCTACATAAGGCAAACCCTAGCCATCCTCATTTAGAGTCTAGTATTACGTACAAACAGCCTTGCACATTTCGAAAAAGAAAAGAAGACGAGCTCCAAAAGGACGAGCTGCAGATGGGCGTAAAGCAATTGGACGAAGAGAGAGAATGACACAACATGGCCGTTGCTCGAGATTGCCTGGTCATGGAGATATGGTCAAGAAGAAAACTTGTAGACTATGAGGCGAGTTATATATTTTATGCAAGGTGGAGGACATGGTGAGATGCACTTTTTTCTCTGTGCACACTCTAACACTCTACAACCAACATCACTGTTGCAAATTACCTTCCTCACCAGCACTCCACTACACGCTACGCTAACTACAATGATCAAGGCACAGAGAAATGAATGTACATTCTACAACTGTGTCCAGAGACTGCTGGACAAGAAAGAGGCGGTCCAGACATAGGAGCGTCGCATTGAACAGGGTCTCCCAGTCAGGGACGAGGACAGACCTGTGCCATTGACCAAGTCAGAAAAAAACCATTTGCTTCGGTCGCACTCAACGGTGCCAGTCCAGTGAAAAACGTCCTTTTAAATGTGTTCGTCTAATTTGAAAGGCGCGAAGATAGAAGCATGGCTTTCATCTGCGTCTGCAAAAAGCCATTCCTGACAAGGGATAGCCTGAGCAAGCATTACAAGCGGGTCTGCGCCCACTCCAACATGCCGACTAACGTTCCAGGGCTTCAACTTATTGACAGCGCTCAAGTTCTCCCTGATGATTTGGAGGTCGTCAATGCCTCAGGTATATCCGACAACGAGGTTGATGGGGAGAACGACAAAGGCGATGAGGCGTTTAGCGGCAGATATGCACCCATATTCAACAATAACGACATTTCGACTACTTCACTGACATTTGATTCAGGAAGAGTGGTTGGTGCAACTATCCGAGAGTTCATGCGGGGCTTGGGTATTGCACATACTCAACAGCAACATGCACAGCGCATGCAAATCATGGCGTTTCAAGAGGAACAGCGCACGTTGAGCACAGCCGTGGAGCAGCGGATCCTGAGCTCTATTGCCCAGATTGCAGCAGGTCAAGGGCAGGGGCAAGCTGTGCAAGCTGCTTCTGCTTCTGCTTCTGCTTCTGACACCGGACCTTCCAGTCCGGTTTCTACAAATAGGAAAAGAACGCGCTCTGACGCCCCTCACTTTGGAACATTCTGGCCCCCTAGTCGTATGTCTCCAACTGAAAATAAGTAAAATGAAAACGGCGGTTTGGTGGAGCGAGTGTAGATCGATATAAAAATTGGAGAGATGTAGAGACGGAAAAGCGCATGGTCTCGCCTTGCTTATCATTTTCCACGACAGTGAAAGCTAGGTAACTCCCTACGCGTCGGCATGCTTGCAAACGATTGGAGTATCTGAGGTGTCGAAGGATCTAGGGTGAAAAGGGTATTTTATTGGGCGAATGCTGCTATCTAGTTCTATGCGTAGATAGGGGTTATATACTAGTTGCATCGGTGTCAACAGTGCATTGAAATATTGTAGAAACTGGGCGAAGCACTGTCGACATCATAGCATACTAAATCTAGCATTAAACCTTTGCAAAGATTCACGATAGTGATTTTGAATCGTAAAGTACTACTCCAATATGATCACAAACGACTGTCTGTTTTCTCTTTCCATGGCACCTCGTCATTCAGCTTCGAAGTGAAATCTGGCTCAATCCTGCCTCATATTGGATTGGACAAAGGGGTAGATTCTCCAGCGATAAGGAAACCGATATGTGAATCTACATGTAGACCTAGTATGACACCCCGTTATCACCGCACTACTGGTAAACAGCAATTTAGTGCGTCGCCTAGGTGTGTCAAGAGTGTAACACACCTGGCAGCAGAGAACGAAGGCGAACTACAGCCTATATCAAGGAAGCGATGGCTAAAAAGATCCGGATCCTTAAACGAATTGAGGTGATGGAGATGATGGGACTAGATGTGATAGGAGCGAGAGCAATCTATTAACAATTACGTATTGGGGACGGTAGCGCGTGGTCGGGGCAGAAGAAAAAAGTTCGGGCTGGTATAGAGAGAGAGGTGTACAAAAGTGCGCACTGGTAGAGGGAGAGATGTACTAAAGTTTGCACTCTTGACGCACCTGGGCAATGCACTAAATTGCAGTGCGGCGATAACGGGGTGTCAGGTGCTTAACCCACGTATTAATCCTTTATATGAAGGAAGGATGCCCGTGAGGCTATGGTGTAAGATTAGAGCTCTCACGGGGGGTGTGAGAAGAATATTTCACAATGTGCTTTGGATAATCTCACGGAGGGGTGAGATTATATTCTTCCTTTTGCCAGAGGGTGTTCTTGGGCCCCAGCCTGTAGGTTCCAGGGTAGATCACTCCAAGCAATGATAGGAGACAGTGCTCGTGAAACCTTTGTTGTTAGTTACCTGTTTCAGCACCAAACGCCTACTACTTCTTGCCTCCTTTTATCGCGTTTTACAACCAATGTCTTTAGTGATTCTTTGCGCCTATGTGAGTCGCTGTCTCTATCTATGCTGCATACAGTGCTACCTCCAATCTTCATCTTTGTTTGGAGTCCTGCATAGCTGATCTACTCTGGAACCTACAGGCTGGGGCCCAAGAACACCCTCTGGCAAAATAAAGAGCAGTGGTTACGGCTAGTTGGTAGTTGCATTGCATAAAAATTCTCGAATCTAGTTGGCATCAACTAAATTCAATACACCCAGCACGGATGTACTCTCGCAGGAAGTCCATGAATAATGAGCCTCATCAGAGCCCCGTCCATCAGTGTGCAGAGTGTAAAAGCAAAAATTCCGTGGGGCGAGGACAGAATTGTTCTCGAATTTGGGGAGCAAAACTGTTGGTGCACTGAAGTGAGCAGCCAATAGACTGTCGCACATTTTTGCTCTACACGCTGATGAGTGAGGCTCTGAATATGGGTGGGTTTATACGTTGGCATATAGACAAAGGAACAGCTGTTGCGGATGAAGATTATTCGTTTCAAGCGGCCAAGGCATTCTCCACATCAATAGGCGACGGATACTGAAAGAAAAAGTGTTGTTGGTTAAATACTGTTCCTGTTGCCTCCTAGCCTTCCCACGCGGAGGTGTTGCGGGCTCGAATCAAGAAGTTACAGGACCTTCGCCCTACCGACAGTACGCACATTCGTATTAACAAGCACAAACGGATCAAAGGGAGAAAGCTGACAAAAGAGGAGCATCGAACCATTCTATATTGCTAAGAGTGTTGCAAAGCAGGGAGAGAAAATGGCAAGGCTGCTTCGATAGCCGACCCTATGGAATAATGTTGGAGATGTTGTATAACAGAAATATTCAAGGCACGCGCCTCCCTTACCTGAACCTCAATAAAACACCTTCATCACTGAGCACTCCCTTAACTTTTCCAACACCACGCTCCCAGACTTGAACCTATTGCATCTTAACTGTGTTTTCTTCGTTGGATTGATTGGTAATGAAAAGAGGATGGTTATTTTGAACGATCCACCCCTTTGTTAGTCTCTTGGTTCAGAAGATAATGCGACGGAGACAGAAGACGTGCCCAGCTAATTATTCCACAGGGTATATTCTGTGCGCATGAATAAAAGACTTGACGCGAGCTAGCCTCAATCATAGACGGAGATACTATATACCAGACAATCAATCACACCTTGTCCTTGTCACGGACAGTCCCCAGTAGAGCTATGATTTCGTCCCACGCGTCGCGTCGCGTCGCGTAGCTCCCCCACTGCGCCCCATACTTGTCATTTGGCTCCGACTCTTTATAGTCCCGACTACGTACTCCAAGACGCGTCTAGAACAGTCCGCCAGATTACTGGTAACGCGTATAAATACCCTAGCATAGTTAGTACTTTCACTCCAGTCTGCAATAGAACTATCACCTCCTTGTTTGATATCTTTTTTGCCTTGTCCGTTCCTGACACTCCATTTATTTTCCCGCATATATCAAGGCTCGCACATCTATCGATGCTTGACGAAACAGTAAGGCTGCCGGAACAATGGCTTGGGGTTCTTGACAGTATAAAATTCACTCTCGTCTTTTCGTATCTCTTCTTCACCCCCTCCCTACCTTGCAGGGTATTTTCTTTTCACCAAAGCATACCTTAGACTTTATCGATCCTTCACCTCCGCTTTCCCACTTTCTCCCGCAGAACCATGCTACAATGCAAAACCTTACTGTTATCCCTGACCCCGGATAGTATACGAAAGCCCAGAATGTCCTGCAAGTCCAAGCCCAGCATGCCCAGCCCGCGCTCTTCTTTTGAGCTATTCCCCATCTTAGTACCGCCAGCACCACTATCACCGCCAGTCAGCAAGCACTGGAGTCATCTTCAAGCTCTCGACATCAAGAACGATGCCACGAGGGACCTCAAAGTGAAGGAGGGATTATGCTAAGGTGAAGGCAAATATGGAAATAGTGCTTTCGTATTGCATATTATTACATGGATGTTCAACCATAATATCAAGCCTATGTTCTCACCAACATCTCTCTGTATTCGCATCGCGGCTGTTCGTAAGGGAGCCTGTTTTTTACGTTCCAAAATGCCTTCATCTTTGATAAATACACCAGGTGTTTTACATAGGTTTCCTAGAAGGAGTTGTTGGCAACCCAGGTTGTCCAGTGGGTTCTCTTCTTTTGTAAGAACTCATTGCTCTGTGCTTGACTACATACTTCAACCTTAGTCAGATAAATTCGCTGTCCATGTGGCACTGTGTTGCTTGATTATCTTTTGATCGTGTGACATTGCATTTGCTCTTGTGTAATGCAGAAACCGGCAATTTCATCGAAGGGATG